CCTCCACTCCTGCCTGGCGGCCCTCGCTCCCGCCGGCGAGCATGGCGACCCACAAGCTGGTCCTCCTCTGAGCACCCTCACCAACCAGCTCTCTCTACATCACGCTTGTAACCACGTTGCCTCCTCCCAGCACCAGCCACCAAGCTGCATTGTACATCCAATATAATATGTATACAGAGAGCACATTGTGAGTTTCCTTTCTCCATCCCATCCTGAATGTGAACCAAAATAACCCGTACCCCACAAATGGTGACCCCCGGAGAATCGCACTCACACAGGATGGAGGAGAAACACTATTACCCCACAAATGGTGACCCCCGGAGAATCGCACTCACACAGGATGGAGGAGAAACCGATCACTCTCCCAGTCTCCAAGCAACAGGGAAGACTGGCTTATCCACACAGAGACAGCTCTCATCAGCTCTACAGCTACTGTCTCTACACTGCAGGTTAGACATCCTAGAGCAGCTCTGCTACTCTAAGCAGACACCAGCTCCTCTTCCTGCCCCAAGCACCACGTCCTACCGACCCCAACACACCCGTCCTGCCTCAGACGCCGCCCCCGGCCCAGCAGTACCCCCTGCCGCTCCTCCTGATGCAGCCCCTGCTCCCGATGCGGCCCATGCGCCTGAGTGCGGACCCACACACCTCTCTTTTCTCCCTCAGGTACTCTACTGTCCTGCACCCTGCTGCTGTCGTGGACCCTGCTGCTGTCATGCACCCTGCTGCTGTCATGGACACACTTCCTGACGCAGCCCCTGCTCCTGACCCAGGCCCACACACCCCAAGCAGGCGCATCTGACGACTCTGTACCTGCCGTGAGGGAAGCACAACATTCATCGCCTCCACACACCCTTTTTCTCCCTCTCTACTCCCACAGATATTGTGTATCTAGACAGTTGTCTCCTTTAGCGGCCGGCTCATCTTCGCCCTCGCCGTTATGTCTCACATGTGGCATGCACCGCCCGTTCTGCCTCACATGTACCATGCAACCCTGCAGACAACAAGTCTCCTACACCGCCTGGAGGGAAGGGGGAGTATTGTAATGGATTCCTCCCCTACAAACGCTTGTCGCTGTGTAGCCGACCCCGCGAATTCCCCAGTGTATGCCTCGTGGTCTAGGTCAACCAGCGCCGCCTTACATGACGGAGGTCAACTATTAAGCCACGCCTACCTCCGCTATATAAGACCTCACCTCGTGGTGACCTATCTCTCTCTTTCTACCTACAGCCGCAGCAAGCAACACCTCATCCCCCCCTCCTGCCTGGCGGCCCTCGCTCCCGCCGGCGAGCATGGCGACCCACAAGCTGGTCCTCCTCTGAGCACCCTCACCAACCAGCTCTCTCTACATCACGCTTGTAACTACGCTGCCACTTCCCAGCACCAAGCTGCACTGTACATCCAATACAACATGTATACAGAGAGCACATTGTGAGTTTCCTTTCTCCATCCCATCCTGAGTGTGAACCCAATATCACGTACCCCACACTACAAGTTACCCTCAGAATAGGAAAGCTCTAGAATCAGAACAGATTTTTGTATGCATTTGGATCATAGTTGATTATTGTACCGTTAGGGTGTGTCATACGGAGGGGAATTTTTTTTTTTTGAGTTTGAAAAATCGGCCCATGGTATTAATGATGTAGTTCTATGTGCAGAATCATGTGATATCTTCAGATTTGAAAAGTTTTCATTTTTTGCTAGGTAAATTTTAACTTGAAATCTTATGAATATTAAGTATTCCCACCCTTTTACCAACACCACTAAATAGCTTATTTAAAGTAAAGTAAATGTATCAGGTTAATTTATTAGGATGAAAATGATCCAGAATAGTGAAACGAATGATCTTGACACATTTATTAAATTTAATATTCCTTTAGAAAACAAAATCATCAAATACAAAAACCGGTTTTACTACTACGACCCGGTGTTGCTGCACACCATAGAGAACATGTCTTTCTTGCTTCTGTTTCTACTCATCACCTCCCTGCTGACCACCTGAGCTCGGATGTAGCCTTCCCTCCTCTCCTGGCTGTACACGTGACTGCTGGCCTCGCTCACTTGCTGTACACAACGCTCTATACTCTGGGTGTGCGAGGGCCAGGCAGGGACATGCATGGGGTTGTCCAGGAAAGCTCTGACTTGAACATTGGTGAGGCTGCAGGTAAGAGGGGGCTCACTGCCAGCCTGGATGTTATCCAGATCTATGAGATCAGTGAGGGTCTTGGCACCTAGATTGACTTCAGGAGTCTTCCTGACCCTGAAGGAATCGTCACCAACTGATTCGTCATGCCCAGATCCTCTCATAAGTCTCATATCCAAGATTTTTTTGACTGCCACTCTTCTCTCCTCCTCATCCTTACTGCAGAGCATTGTCTGCAGAACTGCCTCGGGATGAGCATACCAGGAAGATCTCCTCACAGTCTGCTCCACAATCTGAACAACCTTCCTTGACTGACTCCTCAGGAGCTCAAGCTGGAAGAGAACATGCCTCGGACCATCGGAGAACGATGACTTGACCTTGGTGTTGAACCAATTTGGCAAGTAGACACTCACGATGAATTGGACAATAAGTCTCAGGTTGTGAAGCTGGTTCCCTTTCAGTTTATGATGAGCGACCCAAATTCTGCAGAACCTGAGAGCCGTTGTGAGCCACCTAGAATGTGAGACTGGACCTATCTGCAGGTAAGCAAGTCTATCAGGCATGACCCCAGTTTGATGGCACTGCAAATCATGTAACCATAGTACTGGTGGTACTCCAGGTTGTCCCAATGACAGTATGTGCGACTCGGTGGGAAACTGATTTTTTCAAAGCTCGGATTTATTTCTAACTCGGTGGCAGAGTCCAGCATCTTGCCAAGAGGACCAGACCATCTGTTGTTTGAAAAAGTCTTGCCATCCAGCTCCTGGATCAGATGTCTGAGTGGCAACTCGTTGGTGTGGAGGTCACAAACAATCCAGACCAGCTTCCTCCCAATCTTCCGCTCTATCCACTGTATGACCCCCCCTTGCCACCCTGTGTTCGTGTTAGTGCTGTCCCCTCCAATGGCCTGCAGGGTCTGGTCTACGTTCCTCTCTCTGAGCCAGTTCACAATGTTATCTGCCACTATCTCAGCTGGTTTCCTGATGTCATCTCTCTGGGTGAAATGCAAATACTTCCCTGCCAGTTGCTGCAGCAGGAAGTGCTGCCTCCTTGCGCGAGGGAACAACATTAGAATCTCAACTTTCATGAACACTTTAGTGTCATCCTTCTCCCATCAAAGAACAAACAATTGATTCCATTTTCTCTTATCCCCTTATCAAACTCCTCTTCTAGGTTACTGACAAGTTTCTCCTGAGCTCTCCTTACTTTGTTATGATCTATCACCAGGTGAACATCATCAGGTGTTACCAAACCACCGTCAATCCAGGCAGCTGTTGCTATCTCTGCAGTTTCTCTGAGACCAGTGTGGTGTCGCATGCTGGCCAGAGCTATGCTCAGGATATCTTTCCTATTTCGAATCTTATGCCTGGAAGGTTTGGGATCATTATTTTCTGGGTTAGGGACAAAGTCACCATTCTCCTGGTCAGCACTCGGATCAGCCATGGGGAAGTCATTAAACTCTGAATCAGCTTGACTCCAATCATCGGCCTTTTTTACCTCACCCTGGGCCTTCTCAAGTCTCTTTTCCTCGGCAACTCTTTTCCTCTTCTGTCTCTCTGTGGCAGCCTCCTGTCTCTTGGACTCCGGAATATCTTGACAGAAATCATGAAATTCCCTATACTCCTTGATCTTCTCTCTGTGTGGCACATACCAGTTCGATCCTGGGAATCTTCAGTTCACGTGGGAGATGTGGGCCGCCGGTTTAGTCCACGATCGCATCAAACTCAGGACAGAGAACAATTGGGCTTACCGAAGTAATTATGTCAAATAACTGGTCCAGTTGCTTGCCAAAGCTGTCCTTAACTGCAATTTTTTTCCTCCCAAGAGAGAGATGGCCTTTTCCCAACTGGCAAGCAGTCTCTCACTAATCTTCTTCTGACTTGTTATGACTGGAGGCTTGAACTGAGCGTTAGCCAGAGTGTACTGTGCCAAGACAGCTTTGGTCATATCACTGGCAATGTCTTTGTTTGTGTAAGTTCTTTGGTTCTTTTCACTGATTTGCCTGATTAAAACACCGTATCTCAAAGCATCTCTCAATGTAGGCAACTCCGACTTCAGGAGCTCTCTCCCAGACCCAAGATAGTGACTGAGATGGCTGGATTTTTGGTTCCTCGTCCTGACACAAGCAGCCATCGCAAATATTATCAACTTATAAATGCATCAGAATCTGAAACAGAAAAAATATTGTTAGTTGGGTTGTTAAAGAATGAAGTCAGAAAGCAATGTTCACTATTTAATTGTAATGCACTAATGCAGCTGTACGTTAGATTTTCGATAAATTTCACGCTAAAATTTACCTAGCAAAAGGTTGCAAAATATTGAAACTGAAATTATTTTCTGTTTATATACACTAAAATCTACCAAAAAAGTGATGGGCCATTAGTTTTAGCTGATCTTCCCTCCTATGACACACCCTACTGTACCATGCTGTATTTTTTACGTTGACGCGTGTTAAAGTTGTAGAAAAATGTATTACTGTAAAGTAATTTATAGACCATATTACACTTAAGACTGTGAGTGGTATACAAGGTGGACTGTACCGAGGCGCGTCCACTGTACCCGGGCAGTATGATAGACTGTACATTAACACTACTGAAAATCAAAAGTCAACTAAACCAGGAACACCACCTCATCACACTTGTTTTCAAGATAGTTTTTAAATTTTGTTCATAAAATGTAGATTTTGTATCTATATTTGGTACTTTTATTATTAAAATATAAAGTAAAAAGAAATACTCAACACATAACTACAGTTCTTACCTGCCGCCTTACGTTTTTATTCATAAATTTCCAATACAATTTAATCCTAGTTTCAACACAATTAAGAAATATATAATAAAAACAATTAGATTCACATTAAATAAAGTTCTTCCCATTTATCAGCTTATTTATCTCACCCAGATAGTTTTCGGTGTTCAGTAAGAGTTGTAGACATGGTCGACTACAGCAAGTGGAAGGATATTGAGGTAATATATCACCCACCACCTTTTGTCTATAGTTATTCCTGTGTTTAATATTACTCTTTATAGGTTATGATTGTAGGGAATTATATTAAAGACTTACACACACATAATGTTCTAATATTTAATGTTGAGAGGCAGAGTGTGAGTCGTGGTGACCAGGTCTTGAAGGTTATGGTGTTATTTATTAATGTAACTTACAAAGGTGAGGAGAGAAGGTAGTCAATGGCATATTTTATCCTGTTATTATGTTTTTACTTCATTTTGTAATGTTAGTAGATGAGGAACATTACTATCCGGGAAGACCTTGACTAGTGGATTTGTCTAGAACAAGTAGGTGGCTCTCCTTAACAACCTGCAACCACTTAATCACAAGTATCTGTAGAAGCAAACTTGTTCCTTACCACAATAATAGGTCAAGATTTGTATTATGCCCAACTGTATTTTGGTATTATTTTCTTTACACACCGTTCATTCCTGCCACTAATCTATTATCATATTCGAATAAGATGTCTAATTATAAGATAATTTTCATCTATTGCATTACCGGCGGAAATGTATAATAACGGAGATAGCTTTTCCAAAATATTTTCTATTTTCTTCCATTAACATCCCGCCATTATCGTCTGCCTCTCCTCCAACACTGCATGTCTCCTGCATCTCCTTCATAAATCATTCTACGCATGCGTTGCTGTACACGTCACGCGGCCAATCAAAAGCCTTTTTGATTTTGAAGCCAATTAAAATGTTTTTGGGTTTAATTCGCGGTATTTTTGGCCCAATCAAATTCGAGTATTCTTTTTGGTCTCATATTTTGAAATTCAAGTTTAGTTCCGACCATGGAAGTCTGCGATGGGTGTCACTTAATGTATATGGAGCTGATTGTGAGTTTTTGGAAAAAAAACGAAGAAACTATAGCCTTTATTCGATCGCATGGTGTTCTTCCAACCTCAGTAAAGTGTACTAAGAGCAACACTGAATGTAAATATCGCAAAGACCAACATATGTGGCGTTGGGTAAGAATCCCAGAATAGGATTGGATAAGATAGTGCTCTTGTAATTTTGCCCAAATTTATGAATAACAAAGCAACATAAGTGGAAATTAAGTAGATACGCAGTTCTGTGAATATACGGAGGCATACAGGAAGGTAAGCCCATCAAATTTTTGTATATACAATAAAGAAGTCAAAATGAGTGAGACCAAGGACTCAGGCGACAGGCAAGTGTCGACAAACATGGAGGAGAGAAGAACACCGAAATGTGTGGAGAATGTGGAGTAACAGTCAAGGATAGCGACAAAGCAGTTAGCTGTGATGTTTGTGAAGTGTGGTTCCACATCGAATGTGAAAAATTACCAGAAGAGGTATATAACTTTATGCAAGATGAGGAGGCAGGAGGAGTGTTGATGTGGTACTGCAGTCACTGCAAGAAGGGTTGTGCTAAACTGCACAAGTGCATAAAAAGAATTGAGCAACAACAGGTGGAACAAATGACCAGACAAAATGAATTGGAAGGCAAAATAAATCAACTGAGAGAATTTACAGCACAGGAACACGATAAGAATAAGGAGATAGAAGTCAGGATGGGTATATTGGAGGCAAAATCTATTGAAATAAATGATGTGTTGGAAACAAATGCTAAGAATGACAGGGGTTTTGAAAACAGACTGGGAACCTTGGAGGCTAGAACAGTGGGTTTAGAAGGGACAGTAGATTCTGGCAGGGCAACAGGAAGTGCCACTGAAGTGAAGCAGGAAGACAACACAGGGAAACCAGAGCCTGTTGGTGAACTTATAGAGGAACTAAATGAGAGAAAGAAGAGGGAAAACAACATAGTGGTATATGGTGCGCCAGAACCTGGATCCCCAACAATGAGCGAAAGGATTGAGAGTGATAAATCTTATGCACTGAACCTAATGAAAGAATGTGGTGTCACTAGTGGCCAGGAGATAATAGTTAAAGTGATTAGGCTGGGTAAATTTATCCAGGGAAAAGCTAGACCTATGCTAGTCAAGTTATCTACTGCAGATATAAAGGCCAAAACTTAATGGACTCCAGGAAGGGGAGACACAGAGTGGTGGGTCCTCCGTGGAGGCGAAGAGTCGTCAAAATAGGGGTCCAAGAGAAGTAGTGAGGCTCAAAGAGGAGAAACATGTACATACCAGTAGTGTAAATAGTGTAAGGAAACTGATTAAAAATAGGAAAAAACAAGAACATAATGTTAATGTAGGTAAATTTCTTATTATGTTCAGTAATGTGGATGTGTTGAGTTCAGACAAGTTAATAGAGCTAAATGCACAGTTGAAGGAGATGGAAAATACTCGCCAAGTATAGCCCTACAGGAGGTAAAGCCAAAACACTACAGATATGAACCGATTACAGCTGAATATAACCTAGAAGGTTATGACATTATAGAGCAAAATCTCCTTAATAAGGAAGGGAGAGGTATGTTAATATATATTAGGAAAGGAACCAAATTTTACAGTGTTGAACTTGATACTAAGTTTTGTGAATATTGCTGTATAGAAGTGCCATGTAGTAGTGGTAATTTACTATTTACCTCCATTTACAGAAGCCCTAATAGTGATGAAAGCAATAATATTAATTTGCTCCAACTTATGCAGGAAGTCAATGATAAAAATGTGCTTTATAAAATAATTTTAGGTGATTTTAATCTTCCACAAATAAATTAGAGTAATTATACTTCTGTAATGGGACTGAATGATGTTGGTACCATGTTCATCGAGAAAGTACGGGACTGCTTTCTCACTCAACATATAGAGGAAATCACCAGGATAAGAGGAGACAGCACAGGCAATACCCTTGACCTGTTGTTCAGTAACGAAGAATCTATAGTAGGAGATATCAAGCTGGAGAGTCCACTGGGAAAGAGTGACCATGCCTGTATTAATTTCCATTGTGACATACAGGAGATGGAAGACAAAAGTTAAAAACAAGTGTACATGTATGAAAAAGCAGATTACCAACTGATGAAGCAAAGGCGTACGATGGACTGGATCCAATACTTATCATTGGAACCAGATATTGAAAGTAAGTGGAATAAGTTCAAAGGAAAATTCCAGGCAGTCATTGACGAGTGTGTCCCTAAGAAGATAATCAGAGGACTGAGGGTTAGCAGAAAAAGAACAAATGAAAAATAACCTATGAACAGGAAGCTCTGGGCTAAAGTGAAGAAAAAACAGAGACTGTGGGAGAGACTGAAAATAATGAAAACGAAGTTCAATGAAAGAGCATGCACAAGGGAGATGTATCTGGAAACTGAAAAGGAATACAGGAGATTAAATAACCAGGTCAGATGGGAAACTAGAAACATCTTGAAATGCAAAGAACAAGAGATTGCGAAAAATGTTAAGGCAAATCCAAAAGTGTTCTGGAAGTATGTACAGACAAAAACAAGAACAAAGGCTAGAATTACAGATCTTTACAAGGATGAGGAAAAAGTACAGAAGACTGTGAATGATCAAGAAAAGGCAGATGTACTCTCAGAGCAATTTTCACGAGTTTTTACTAAGGAACCAGATAGGGGGACACCAACAGCTAACAAGAAAGACGTGCCAGCTCTTGAACACCTGGAGATAACCGAGGGCAAAATAAGAAAGGTGATTCAAAAATTGAAAAGACATAAGTCTCCCGGTCCAGATGGGTTACATCCAAGAGTCATTAAGAAGATGATGGAGGAACTACTTCAGCCTCTGAGGATCTTGTTTGAAAGCTCTTTTCAAGAAGGAAATATACCCGAGGACTGGCGTATTGCATATATCACAGCTATCTATAAGAAGGGAAGTAAAAGTGAACCAGGAACTACAGGCCAGTCAGTCTAACTAATGTAATCTGCAAATTAATGGAGTCAATATTACGGGAAGAGATGATATCCCATATGAAAAAATATGGATTGTTTAGTAATAAACAGTTTGGCTTCATTTCCGGCAGGTCAACAGTCCTACAGTTGATTAGAGTACTAGACAGGTGGACGGAAATTATCGATGACAGTCAGGCTGTGGACATAGTGTATTGTGACTTCATGAAGGCTTTTGATAGAGTACCCCACAAAAGACTATTAGGAAAAGTATCTAGTTATTGCATTGATGGAAAATATCTTGATTGGGTAAGGAATTTTTTAACTAAGAGAAAACAGAGGGTTGTGGTAAATGGGGAAGTATCTGACTGGAGAGAGGTCACTAGTGGGGTCCCTCAGGGTTCTGTCCTTGGCCCCCTGCTGTTTGTCCTTTTTATCAATGACCTGCCTGAGGCAATTAAACACGACAGTGAGGTATATCTATATGCGGATGACACAAAGATGTTTAGGAAAATAGAACGAGATGAGGATTGTGACATGCTGCAGGAGGACCTGGATGGGATCAGGGGTTGGACTGAGAAGTGGATGCTGAACTTTCACCCAGAAAAAAGTAAATACATGAGGATAGGAAAAACAAAAGTTGCTGACCAGGGATATCATATGTACACCACGATCAAGAAGACCACTGTAGAGAAGGATATAGTGGTAGTCATCGATGATAAGCTGACGTTTTCTGACCATCTAGCTGAGAAAATCAACAAGGCTAATAAAATAGTGGGCATTATTAGAAGAACTTTTGTTCATCTGGATGCACCTATATTCAAGGCTCTGTACACTGCTCTGGTTAGGCCACACCTTGAGTATGCTAATCAAATTTGGTGCCCATATCTCATTAAGGATATTGAAGCAGTAGAGAATGTACAGAGGAGGGCTACCAAATTAGTACCACAGATCAAGGGTTTATCTTATGAGGAAAGACTAAGGAAATTACAGTTACCGACACTGGCGTACAGAAGATCTCGTGGGGACCAAGTGGAAACATACAAGATAGTGTGTGGCATATATGACCAGGCATGTACAGCAGGAATGTTCCAGATGAGGGAGGCTGACACTACCCGGGGGAACTCAAAGAAGATCTACAAAACAAGAGCGAGGCTAAATCTCAGAAGACACTCGTTCACGAGTAGTGTTGTCAACAACTGGAATAGTTTACCTGAGTGGGTAGTGAATGTGGAGACGGTGGAAAAGTTTGAAGCAAAATTAGATAAATACTGGAAAAATCAACAACAAGTATATAACTTTAGGGCACAATTATCCACCACACACAGCCACTGTCTGAGTAGAGAAGAGGCTATTGAGCTGGAGTCATAGGCGTGAGCCTCTTCCAGAAGATCATCTGTGAGTAAGAAATAGGTGATTCCATCATATGGTGAGAGTCAGTTAAGTTAGGTTTGGTTTGGTTATTGTTTTTCTAGTGTTTTTTTTTTTTTTGTGTATTTTTCAGTCTCTTGGCCACTTTTTTTCTCGGAAAACGTCAAACGAAAAAAAATCACTAAACAAAAAACGGCTAATTTCCGCCAAAAAGGAAGGTCATATTCGGTCTCAACACACACAAATACCCTAAAAGTGTACGGTGTGACAAGAAAAATTTACCTGTATATTTTACTAAAATAGTGTTTTATGTGTTTTGTGATTATTTAGTGATATATAACCATTTTAACACTAGTAATGACATTGAATTCTTCTAAATTGATCAGGGCTTTCAAGCTGAGGGAAAATGTGGGGTTAAAACACACAAAACCTCACCAATAGAACCTTTGAGAATGAACATACTGGTAACTTAATGTCAGATCCTGTTAACCTTTGAATCTAAATTTTCTCCAAAGTAGACAAAGAGCACAGTATAATATGTAGTGGGTATATATACAATAGTTATGTACATGTACGGTATTTAATATTTAACGGAGCTCTCTTGGCTTCAGATTTCGGATGATGAGGATGACACTCATCCGAACATTGACACACCGTCCCTTTTTCGATGGAGACACCAAGCCAGGCTGGAGCGTATGGCAGAGAAAGAGAAAGAACTTGAGAAGATCAAGAAGGAAAAACAAGAGTAAGTAATAATAAGATAAGTGTGGACATATATGTAGTTGTTGAACAGGAGAGTTACTGCATGTTGTACTGTACAGGGCAGTGGGTCTGTAATGATCAGGGTGTACAGTATAGGCACAGGATACAGGCATGGCAGCCATATGCAAAAAGTTGATGTCTATTGGTACAGCAGCCTAATACTGTACACATGCATGGTGGGCAGACTATACAATGATAGTTACTAAGATGGCCTTCTTTCTGTCTAACCTAACCAAACCTAATGTGACATAACCTGACTAACTTAACCTAACCTAACTTAACTAACTTAACTTAACTTAACTTAACTTAACTTAACTAACTTAACCTAACCTAACTAACTAACTTAACCTAACATAACTAACTTAACCAAACCTACCCTGCAACTTAAAGACACCTAACTTACCTGATAACTTAACCTAACCTATAACTTAACCTAACATAACTAACTTAACCAAACCTACCCTGCAACTTAAAGACACCTAACTTACCTGATAACTTAACCTAACCTATAACTTAACCTAACATAACTAACTTAACCAAACCTACCCTGCAACTTAGACACCTAACTTACCTGATAACTTAACCTAACCTCTAACTTACCCTAATAATTAACAAATTCCGTCAATACGGTCGCCATACCTGTATCCACTCGGTATTATATTACACTGACACATGGGATAAAATGTTTCCCTGTAGGTTGAGTCAATTACAAACTTAATATTGAGTTATAAGGTTTAATTTAGTGTGTGTTGTAATGTCCTGCTGAATATTGGTCCTTGAGAATATGGAAGATCACGTAGATAGATAGACATTTATTCAGTAAAATCGTCAGGTAAGTATACTTTTTGTTTGGCGTGTACTGTGTATAGACAACATAGATATGTATACAGGTCAGTATGACAATCAATATACCATGACAGTGCAGATGTTTATTCTCAGTAGATCTAACTAGAGGTTACATCTGATGAGGTACTACATCATTGTAAATCAGAGTGTGCCTGTACAGTACAGTACAGTCCTGCAGTTATTACTTTACATCTATAAGAATACTCTATGGCTGAGGTGCACCAAGGTTGATATGTGTCGATGACATGACACAACTCACTGCTCTTATCTTTTAATGGTGATATTTACTTATAAAGATCTTATTTAGAGCTCGGTTATGATGGATGAGGGTAACTAATACATTAGTTCCAGTCTAATCCAGGACTTGTAGATATAACTTATAAGTCATCTAGCAAAAGGGATTTCAGGATCAATCCTTCATCTCTTGATCACATATCACCATTTGTAAATCTCCCCAGAAATTGGATTTTGGACCCAAAGGGTTAATGTTACTGTACAATGTATTTAAGGCTTGGTCTCTATTTACACAGGGATGGTGCCCTCAACCTCCACCTTGTGATCCTCTTGTGCAATAATCCATTTTTTATGAAGTAGATCACCCACGAAGTCAGAGTGGAAACTTAGTTGTTACTGCTGGATTAAAGAGTAAATTGTTTCATTAGCATTACTGTGCAGGTTAAAAAAAAGATTTTTGATGCACAATTTAATTTTTTTTAGATATGATCGGCAGGTGAAGACTCTGAAGCAAAAGCTGGAGACTGAGCCAACACATGACAGTACAGACATGAGCAAACTTAAGGAAGCACTGGCTGAGCTGGAGAAGAAAGGGGCAAACTTACTTGGTAAACAGAAGGACTTAGAGAAGAAAGAAAAGGTAATTATAGCTAACTTCATTTCACTTTTTTGTTGGGGAAAAAGATGATAAAGGCTGTTCTCTCCTGCTGCCAGCCACAATGTTACTTTGAAACATCTGAGGTGTGAACAACGAAGCAGGAAGAGCCTATTTAACCCAGCAGATGTTGCACCCGAAAGTTTGTTGGAGTTGTGAATAACATAATGAAATGTCCATCTACTGATAATATTAAGGTGGTGATGATGGTTAATAAAGATAATGAATGCATCAACAAAAATCTTGTACATGGTAATGAATTATATGAATAAATACTAGGAGGTTTCAGGAGCAACAGTGGTATTGTTAATAGTATAATGATACAGTGCTACAGTGGTCCCTTGGTTAACGAACGGTTCGATTAACAAAATAGCTCCCATAAGGATCTTCAATTCGGTTAACGAACAAAACTCTGATTAATGAAATCCTTATGACAAATACGTTTTGTTGTGAGCATCAGCTGATCAGTGAGTCCGCCAATACAGTACAGTGGTCCCTCGGTTAACGAACACAATTCGTTCCAGAAGGTCGTTCGTTAACCAAAAATTTCGTTAACCGAACCCATTGTTTTAATGGGATATTGGGTAATTGGTTCCAGCTCACCGAAAAGTACATACAAAGTAAAAAAGTAAAAAAAAAAAACTGCAGTAAAGTACACTTACTTTGAGGTGTGTATGTAGAAGGCTTCTGGTTGATGATGATGATGGGAATTAGAAGTGGGGATGGAGGAAAAGGGAGAAGCGAAGGAAGTGGGGATGGAGGAGAAATCACCTTTCAGGGGACCCATGCTTGAGGCCGTCATTTCACCAATAAAATTTTAAGTTCACTCGGTGTACATAATTCAAGATTATTTTCTTTAAATCAACACTGCACTGCGCTATATATTATCAATATGTTAAATAAATTTCAGAATGACCAATAATTGTTCTGTAAAAACTTAAAAATACTCTGTGTTCAAGAGATCCACAAGCAAGATGTTTCCTCCACTTAACAGAGACACAAACAGATGCCTTGGTGGGTGAGTGAAGTGGCTGATGGGCGCACCAAAAACTAGTTCCCTGTACTGCAATTATGTTAAATAAGTATTAAAATGACTAATAATTTTAATATAAAACCGATTACTGTATTGGCGGACTAACCTACCAGCCGATGAGCAAGCCAAAACATGTTGACATGTTTTCGTAAGAATTTCGTTAATCGAATTTTTGTTCGTTAACCGAATTGAAGATTCTTATGGAAAGTAATTCGTTAACCGATATTTCGTTAACCGAGGCATTCGTTAACCGAGGGACCACTGTAATCTGTTCGATGTTTACATTCGTTTCCAGTGGAATAAATGTCAAGAAGGTTGTGCTTGAATATTTTTTTTATTTTTATATTAAAATTATTGGTCATTCTAAAATTTAGCGATCCAAGCTGTGTCTACATAAAGTTTTCAACTATTATTTTTGGCTCGGTATATGTAACTTTATTAATTGATTGAAACTCATTTACATGCACACACTGTCCTAAGGGCAAAGCTGTACTGTATATGTAATGAAAGTAATGTACAAAATGATTACTAAAATTTTTGTCTAGTGCAAACTATAGCATGTTTATATTCAAATTAATCACTATCTTATAAGAATTCCAGCAATGTAGATTATACAGTTTTACCCCGCTTAACGCGGTTTCACTTAACGCGTTTTCGCATATACGCGGTGAGTGTCCGAGACGCTATTTTTAGATTTGCCCCACCCGCCACCCTGCCTGACTGCCTGTTTTAGCTCATAAAATTCATACAAATTACCAGGCCAGAATATAATTTACATTGCTGGAATTCTTATAATTTGGTGATCATTTTGAATATAAACATCATATATTTTGCTTTAAACTTACAATTTTTTGATAAAAATTTTTCTCTAGGTAACTATGGTATCTTTTGTCCAAAATATATGACATTTATATTCAAAATATTCCTGGTCTTACAAGGAATCCAGCAATGTCAATTATATTATCCTAACTTTAGTTTGAGGTATTATTTATTAAAATTTAGTGGTTATCCCACACATCTACTTGGGACGGTTGGTGGGGGGTGGGGGGGAGGGAGGGACCAACCGACCATCTGTTACCGTGTGAAGAATTATTATTTTTTTTTATTAACTGAAGATATTTGTTTTAGCTCACTGCAGAAATTCCTTACAAAATTACCGGTCGAATATAATTTACATTTATTTTGAATTCTATAATTTGGTGATCATTTGAATATAAACATCCATATATTTCCTTTAAACTTACCACAATTTTAGATAAAAGAAGTGCACTATATTCAAATAACTATGTTATCTTTTGTGCAAAATATATGACATTTATATTCAAAATATTCCTGGTCTTACAAGGAATCTAGCAATGTCAATTATATTATCCTAACTTTAATCTGAGGTATTATTTAATACTAAATGTTAAAAACTCTGGAAGGGAGGATTGGTGGGGGTGGGGGGAGGGTTGGGACTGACTGCGCAGTTGGAAGAGGGGGGGAGGCAAGGTGGGGTACTTTGATTGACAGATAGTGTCGTGAAGATTATTTTTTTTTTTATTAACTGAAGATATTTGTTTTAGCTCATAAAATTCATACAAATTACCCGGTCAGAATATAATTTACATTGCTGGAATTCTTATAATTTGGTGATCATTTTGAATATAAACATCATATATTTTGCTTTAAACTTACAATTTTTAGATAAAATTTTTTCTCTAGGTAACTGTTATCTTTTGTCCAAAATATATGACATTTATATTCAAAATATTCCTGGTCTTACAAGGAATCCAGCAATGTCAATTATATTTTCCTAACTTTAGTTTGAGGTTATCCCACACATCTCCTTGGGACGGTTGGTGGGGTGGGGAGGGAGGGACCACCACCATCTGTTAGCCGCTGTGTACTGTAGTGAGAGGAGGGAGTTGAGTCCATTATTTGAATGGACATTAACTTGGCGACTGTATTTCTCTATTTCTCTTAAGTATTAATTGTGTGCATGTACCATCATAAAATTAAGATGTTATTTTTACTACAACATAGGTATGTGCCTTCAAAAAGTGGAGTTTAGGGGTCGGGCCGGTTTCTATTGGAATTAATCCCATATGTTCTGTTGTTCACTTAACGCGGATTTCACTTAACGCGGGACCCTCTGGGTTCAATTGACCAAGTAAGGGGTACAACTGTATTCTCCCGTCACTTCTATAACATTTTATAAGCAAAAAACAAAAACTCAATCTGAAGGACATAAATAAACAAATAAATACTTCACTAGACCTTCGGTGCCAACTGTCAAACATGTCACTGTCCCCCCCCCCCTGTCCTCCTCCCAGCCAGGGTTTGTTGGTTATACAGTAGGCTTTAAGTTTTTATCTTATATAATATCAGACTAAAGTTAGAAGATAATTTGTATTTCTGGAATCCTTGCAAGACAGCGAATAATTTGAATATAAACGTCATATATTTTGCACAAGAGATAAAAATTAATCACTTATATCACATTACAGTAGTGATTTAAGAGTTCTAGTGTACAGGTAGTCCTCTCATTATTACCGACCATCCGACATCGACCGCTTGTCGCATCTCAAAATTTTTCAAACTCCTTACGTATTTTCTAGGACTGAAACGTTTCCATCCTGTAACGAGCGCCGCTGCGGGCTGGGTCAGCCGCTGGTACAGCTGCCCACGCCGTGAAAGCCAGTTTGTGTTTGGCTGTCGTTGTTGTCGGTAGTGATCGCGCTGTGTACTAACAATATTTTCGTTTCTAATTCCCTTTAGAATGACTGGAAAGTGTAAAAGTGAGAGTTTTGGTGGTGCTCAGAAGAAAAGGAGACAGTCAATTACTTTTGAGATGAAAATGAATATAATAATGCAATATGAAAATGGAAAAACAGTAAACTCATGTGACCTAGGCTTCTCTCACTAGATGATGTCAACAATTTTGAAGGACAAGGAATGAATTCGTGAGGTAGTGAAAGGAACAGCAGCTATAAAGGGAACAATAATAACGAAAAAAAGACAAGGTCCTATTCATGAGATGGAAAAATTACTTGTGGTGTGGATGGAAGATCAGATACAAAAGCCTGTACCCTTAAGCCTTCTAACAATACAGGCTAAGGCAAGAAGCATTTGAGAAAGTCTGAAAGAGCAGGCAGGAGATGAGGCACCAAAACTTCTCAGCAAGTCATGGGTGGTACCAAAGGTTTAAGAAACGTTACAGTTTGCACAGTGTAAAGGTGAGTGGAGAGGCAGCAAATGCTGATGTGGGTGCTGCCAAAGCTTTTAAGGAGGAGCTAGATCATGTCATCGTGGAGAGAAATTATTTTCCTGAGCAAATATTTAAACTGGATGAAACTGGCTTATTCTGGAAGCGCATGCCAGAACGGAAATACATCCACAAAGAGGAGAAAAGCATGCCGGGATTCAATGCATTCAAGGACCGAATCACACTTCTGTTGGTGGAGCATGTAGCTGGTTTCAAGATAAAGCCCTTCATGATCTATCATTCAGAAACCAAGGGCTTTTAAACATGTCAGCAAGCACACATTGCCAGTGTTTTTGCATAAGAAAGCATGGATGACCCTAGTACTGTTTGAGGATGGTTCCTGAGTTGTTTCATGCCATGAGCCAAGGAGTATTGCCTGCAACAAGGGTTGGGCCAAGATTTTACTAATTTTAGATAATGCTCCGGGACACCCACCACACCTGGACGACCTGCACCCTAATGTTAAGGTAGTCTACATTCCACCTAACACTACCTCTATCATCCAACCCATGGATCAAGATGCTACTTGCTTAAAGCGTATTATTACGTAACACCTTCTCAGGCTGTTGCTGCTACTAAAGGTGAAAAAAATGCTCAGAGAGTTTTGAAGGACTAAACATTTTGAAATGTAAAGAACATAGCTGCAGCATGGGATGAGTATCAGGTCAGTGCATGAATGGAATATAAAGAAGTCCGAAAAGGTAA